ATCTATACATTTAATTACAAGTTATTTGAAAGACACTATTGCTTGAAATGTAAAAAATATATATATAAATATAATTGAAAATTCGAAGAAACTTATGTTATTTAAGTAAGCTTTGTTTGAAAGAACTTTTAGCCGTTATTTTTTTGATGTTTTTTAAAAAATTACGTGCTGAAAAAATTTTATAAAAAGCACTTAAAAAGCTGTCCTTAATAAAAGCCTAAGTATTGAATCAAACATACTAAATTTTGAACACAAGAACATGGCAACACAAACTTATGACAGAATCAGGAAAAATCAAAAACTCATTTTTGACATTAATTAAAACAGTAACTTGTTTCATTTTTACACTGGCATGTGGTAGTGGAAGATCCAGCTCATAATCTCTTTTTTTTTTTTCTTTTTCCCTTTTTTTTTTTCCTTGGTTAGAATCACTGGAATCACACTTTGCATCTAGATGAGCACTAAAGAATGGTAGGTTAGCAGAGTTGGTGATGTACAGGTTTAAGAGAAAGGCCTATCAGCCTCTTTGCTGCTAGAATTGATGATAATGGGCTGAGCAGTCTCCAGATTACTGTAATCAGTCTCATCATCTTCATCATCAGATGAGAGCAGGGAAGAGCCCATCCATGTCCTAAAACCTTCGTTGACTCGCCTCTGGACGTCGGGGGTAACTTCGATCGACGATTCCAGCATTTCCAGACCGAGGTTCCGACCGCCATAGTTGCCCTCATCGAGGACGGTGGCAGCTTTTCTCTTAAGAAAGAAAGCAGTGCCACCATACAATGTCACCAGTCCCCAGGCAGTAATCTCATAGCACCAGAAGAGTGGGATGGAGCAGCTACTTCCCAAAGTGAGAAGACTTGAGCCAAGAAATAGGGAAAGAAGACCGAATATTACAGCAAAGACAACATTGAGAATGAATAAGCAGCGGATACCACCTGCAGCATAGGAGGAGGACGATCTAAGAAACAAGCATCAATATAACAGTGCATGGAAGAGATATTACTTGATGTGAAAGCATAAATGATAATAGTGAACATTGTTAAATCTTTTAAGTTTGAAAGGAGCAGGTTAAGAAATTGTTTCTATAGAATATTTTTAGAAGCAATGCTGCAATATGAAAATCATGGGGGGGTGAGCTGCACAGTAGTGGAAGTGGAATTTCAGTCTCCATCTACAATTAGATCCTTTCGGAACACTCCCTATGGCCGCTATCAAAGATAAGCTTTTTCAAGTAGTTACTATTTTTATTTTTATTTTCACTTGCTGGCTTGCTGGATTCAGTAAGATAACTTCCTTTACGAATAGAACTTCACTAGCTAGCACGAGACTCTCACGGGATGGAAGATCAATCCCACTCGATGAAACTTTCTCCTAATAGATGCAAGTAGGAATACTGGTAGCGAGACGAAATCAAACACGACCATTAAGCCCTCAAAGTCTCAAAAACACACCAACACATCCTATCCCCTTACTTAATTTGGGTTTAGCTATCTCATTTCTTGCTGGAATTGCATAATTTCCAGTTCTATGTACTCTTCATTTGATCAGCTACAGCTTCTATGATGATCACTTTGATTGATGATGGCATGCACTCAAGTTTTTTTCATAAATTAATGGTTTCAAACTTGATTCTTCCCATCCCAATCCATAGTAATCCTTCTCTTGCTCCTTTGGTAAAATTCCACATGATTCTCGCTCTTAAAATTAACTTGATAATACCAGACTATTAACTTCATATTATCGTACATTCATACTATTATGATAATTCATCATATGACTACTAAAATGATAATGATATCATTACAAAAATCAGCAATCCTATTATTGTCATAATTGTCATGATCTCTATCATCATCCTAATGATGATCATTGCTATGACAAGAGGTATTAAAATAATGCTATTTATTTTCTCATCATGATGCCTATAATCACATTTCTTTATTATTTTTTTCTTTTTTTAAACCTATAATCATATTTCTCCTTCAAGTTCACATCACAAATATAATACTTCTCATGAAAAGCATTATAGTGATAGTTATAATCACTAAACATCAATTAAAAATATGGTTGAATAATATGCATTTTTTGTTAAACATCACCATCACATGCATAACATTGAGTACTCCATGTACATGACTTTGATCAAATGAAGAAGAAACAACCATAATTGACATCATCAATAATTCATTTATTAATTATCTAAAAGTCCATGCAAGGAACCATATTATAAAAAATAAAAAAGCAAACCCCAAAATAAGATGAGATTATCTTCATCAAGTACCTAAAATAATGAAATTATTATTACCTGTATTATATTTAATCAAATTTTAAAAAAGTAAAATTAGCATAAATGATAAGTAGCATAAAAAGACTTGAATACTGATATGATTCAGTTCCTTTGCAACTTTATTTGACTCTGTGATTGGCCTATCAAAAATCTGACATGTATGAGCTGAATTGGCTAAATAGTAAGTCAAAGCAAAATGCATTAATCATCCATTCATTTAGAAAATATGTTCCTAGAGTTGGATTAAAGTAAAGCTTCAAGAAAAAATTTAAGGAATGAATGGACTTTCGTAATACATTTTTAATGATTCAAAATAAGTTGCAAAAGGCTTGTAGAATTGATAAGATTTATCTAGAACAATGAGATCGGGTTTCTAGGAGGGATTGAAAGGATTAAGTTGATTCTCCTATTCTATATGAGAGAACTAGGAGGATGGATTGGCAGCCGAATCTTGACAATTCCAATGATAGTAAGACTCGAGTAGGCCTTGATTGAGAATTTGGGAGATGGAGGGAGAGACTGCTTAAGGAAAATAATTTAATTTCTTAAAGCTTAAATTTTACATTTTAAGGCTTCTTTTAAAAATAAAAAATAAATAGGAGTCAATTCATATCTATCCACAGTTCCAACTAAACACGTTATTTTAGAAATCCTTATCCTATCCTTTCTAAATCCATTCAAATTATAGATCCTTAAAACTAATTTAAGCGAATGGATAAGATACATGCTTATATGTTAAACCGGTCCATTGGACCGGTCCTACGAGACCGGCCCGTGCGAAACAGGCAGAGAGATTCCGCCTTTTGTATGCTGGTCCGACCGCCGGGTCCAAGGGAGCTGTGTATGAAGGATTTTTTAGGGAGTTAGGAGGGAAATTTGAATGTATGGATTGTTTAGATATTTCATTTTTGATTGTATAGAGTTATGACATCTTGAATTTGGCTGAATTTGAGATCTCTTAGGGTTTTTTTTATTTTTTGGCTTTAGCGACATCTAGAGATTTGGGAGAGAGATTCTCCTCTTGAATTGAGAATCGACTGTATCTTGGTATTTTCCTTCAGCATCTTTGATTATTACAATATACTGATTATCTAATTTTCATTGAAGTTTGGAAGAATCTTCTCGTTGTTTTGTCTGAAATTGATAGGATTTACTTGAAATCTTCAAGTGCTTCATATCATTATCGTGATGCTAATCATTTTCATTGACTACTTAAAAGTTATGGAATGGATAATAAAGATGAACCTTGTTTAAAATAAAAGATATTCCACGGGATCTCTTCTTAAAAGGTGATTGAGTACTTAATAAGGACGGATTTTGAGAATTCCATTCAAATAAATCTCACCTTATTCTAATTTGGCCACCACTCCTGTCATTCAGAATATTTTGTTTATCCAAGCTAAATAGCTTATCCTGCACATGTGGTCATCCCATACAAAGATATTTTTTGTTGATAGAACCCATCCATATAATTTCTTTGGCAGAACTACCCATCTATATGATACCCAAGTACCCAACCTTCTGATGAAGTTGACATATTTTGATTGATCATAACTTGATCAACTTTAAATGAAGCTTAAAAGCTGATGAACTATCTCAAGCAATATATTGTACTTACATAAAAGGATTAGTATAAAACAAACTTTACTTTTTCTCCTCATTCTAAGAATCTCCATAAAAACTAAATGTCCTCCTTAAACCAATCAAACTTGTCCCAATATCAGGTATGGCCTTTTGGGTACAACTGTATAAGGTTGAACTCTTATAATACTCACCTTGTGGTCCACTCCATTACTCAGCCATGGTCCTCTTGAGTCATATTCAAGTCCTTGTGGAATTTTGAATAATTTGTGGGCTACTTTGTGAACATGTCTTTAGGTAGAAGGTACTCGTCGATTCTCTTCTTTATCACCTCTCTTTCTGACTTCTTTTGGTCCTTTGCATGATTACTCTAAACTGATGATTGATGACATAAATATGCATCCAATGGTGCAAGGAGAGCCCTGATGATAACCATGAATTTTATCAATTGATTAGAGATGTCGGGCACAGCCTTTTCAAATATTTTAGTACTATTAACCCTAACATGCATTGATTCATGATTCCCATCCAATTTGATTATCTCCTTAGAGTCTCAAGACTTTGCTTTAGTCTAACACAAACCATTATGAAATCATGCAAATTGGAACTAGTGTTTTGATTACAACATATGATCCAACAGTGCAAAAGGCTTCTGAGACTGATCAAAATTATCTCTAAGACAAGGCAAGAGGGTCTCTATAGAGGAATTAAGTAGATTAGGCTGATTCCCTTAATCTACCTGTGCAAATAGAGAGCATGGGTAGGCAATTTTGCTCATTGGAACACATGCCCCTAGGATCAAAACTTGGATGACATGTCAAGGAGAGAGACAGAGAGAAGCTCAAGTAGGCACTTGAACCAATATCGAAGAGAGGTTGACAAAAATAATTCAATTATTCTAAGTTTTAATTGTTATAACCTATTTATAGAAAACAAGAGTTAGTCCAGATTTATCCACAATTCCAACAACATGCAATAATTTAGGAAACCTTGTTATAAATTGAATGCATCAATTCAAATTATGGATAACCTTAAAACTAATATAAGCTATTGGATAAGGCATCCTTATCTTATTGTTTAAAAGAAGAAAATCAAAATAACCAATTAAAGAAATATTCCCTCGGATCTCTCTATAAAAGGAAATTGGCTACTTGAAATGAGGGGAATTTTATATAGAAACTTACAATTTTTCTTGATGCTCTCGACATAAAACTCCACCATATCCAAAATTGGCTACCCCTTCATATTTTTGAAAATAAATTGCAATTTAGCATACCTAATTTTTCATTTATAAATTTCTCCCTCTAATGTCAAACTTGTACTTTTTTTTGAGAGATTTTTTGATCGCTTAAAGGAAAAAAAGAGTAATTGTGTTTGGTGATCTAGAAATACATATAACTATTTTAATTTAGGTTATTCTTGTATGAATATGAGATACAAGTGTGAAAGAAATTATACTTTATTCCACAACAATATATGATTCAGTAACATTGAACTAATGATTTAAGGGAATGATATTTAATTCCTTATAAAGTGAATCTGGCAAACTAGAAATGAAATATTTTTCACCAGTAACGTTTTTGATCTAAATGGACAAGTAAAAGTCTTTGGTTATGAGAAAGATTATAAATGCAATTCTAAATTATCGGTTTCAGAATTACATGATTTTTTTTGTAATTGGAGTTTCTGGTTATGGGGCTCCTAAATTGTGGGAGCTTGCCATCGATGAATAGCATCACATTTAAACTAGGCCAAAAAAATTCTGGAGAGATTACTGAAAACCAAACAAAGCTTCCTGCACATTGCCAGAGCTCAGCCACGTTACATCAAAAGCTTGGTTAGACCTCATTGAGCCTAGCCAGTCATCAATGGCTTGCTTGAGCTTGTTTAAGCACGATGAACGCTGGTGATTCATTTTGCTTATGTTCTCGTTTTGTGTGAAAAACAAAATCTTACTCAGTAGTGGTTAACTATGTCAAAATTACGATAATATCTATTGCCTGGTTTGTGAGTTCAAATTATGATGTCAAATTACAGCCAATAAAATAATAGGATCAAACACATTTAGGTTTCGTTTATGATAGCTTTCGTATTGCTT